CTAGGCTGCCAACCGACCGCAATGGCGATCATGCTGTCGCTTATCAGACCAGAATGCTTGAAATAGTATGTATGCGCGGTTATATTGTGTATTCTGTATGCTGACCACATAGGTTCGCTTTCTTTTCCCGTCCCTAAAATTAAGTTCAATCCCTATCCTCCTTAAACATTCTCACTCACCTTGTATGCAATATGAGTTTGGCAGCGATCATTGAAGTTTGCTTCACTGAATTACGCTGTACAATGATGATGATGATGGTGATGATAATCGCTTGTGTGCGGGATCTACGAGGAAGAACACGTTGGAGAGGGACAACCGGAAAGTTCACTAGAGCAAAATCCAAAGTAGTATCGATAGAATAAGGGTGAAGAAGCGACTGCCCGACGATCAGCTAGTGACTGCAAGTTGCATGTCAGCGACGGTTCGTTGATGAGACTGATGAACCCGATCAAGAAGAGAGTGAGATTTGGACGAAGCTCCACTCCGTACATAACTCCAGTATTTAAGTGTAGGGCAAAACGGAGCTTTGTAAAGTGAGAGGTGAATTGGAGTGAAGAAACGTCTGGCACGAAAGAGGAGCCCAATTTGCACGCAGTGCGGTTCACAAGAACAAATATTTGGTGGCCATAAAAGAAAACAATATCAGGACAGTCCCAATAGGTTGCATGAATCACTGGAACGGAGAATGTTCAAGTTAAAATTTAATGAACGGGAGATGGAGGCGTGTTTAAGAGAAATTGATGAAAGGGAATTTTTACTAGCATTGAAGAGAACATGGTTGCGACAGCTCCAAGCAGAACTAAGACAGATCAGAATTTAGGGGGAACCGGAGGGAGGAGCGGACGTCACTAATGCTGGAGTTAGAGATGCGTGAAGAGGAATAAAACAAAGAAGAGTGTTGGGTAGCGTCATGGGCAAAGGGTTTAAAAGGATTTAAATGTGAAGAAACGTCATCAATAAAAAATCAGGAAAGAGAAGAGGATAGTAAATAACCTTGGGGGACACTGGTCTTCACATTCATTAAAACGGGACATAGTCTCATCTACTCGAACCGAGATGCTGCGGTCCTTGAGATAACTTGCTGTCCAAGACAGAAGTTCCGAAGTAGAGCCAGATTTGAGTAGTTCAACCGGCAGACCCGCGTGCCAGACAAGATCGAAAGCTTTCGGTATATCCAGTGACACCATATGTGTATCTCCGGGGTTGTCGAGTGCCGCTGACCATGTATGCGAAATGAGCACCGGAAGATCACCGGTAAAACAATGGGATCAGAAACCGTACTGGCGGTCACTAAGCATCTTGTTCTGTTTCAGGTGGCGGCGAAATTGATCAGCGACAGCTGATTCCTAACCTTCGAAATGACTGATGTGAGAAACGCCGAGAAACGGCACGACAGCTATCTACTCGGATCGAAGAGCATCACCCACGCTGGTTAAGACTAGGACAGACCGGATCAATAAACAGCTCCATCCTAGCCCATAAAGTCGACACCGGACGTCGCCTTCAGAGTTTTTTATCGTGTCCCCCACACCAAGTGCAGGGGTGTTCAACTGCACACCCTAGCAATAGCCGAAGCGATCGGGATAAGAAAGTTGACCCCTGACCTCTGCGCCCAAAAAGCGTTTGGTTCAGTTACTCGAACTTCCATGGCCGGTGATCGATCGGTCCCGAGTGTGTCCGCCGTCCAGTCGCCCTGATGCCGTAACTTAGTTAAACCAATCAAATGACAAATGCCAGTTGACTATAAACTCTTACCCATGATTGGTGATGTCTAAATGTGTGATCTGTTTTCTGATGTAACCTATGTAATATGTAAACGGCTTGAGAAGGAATTACTGAAAAACAATTGTTTCGCCAAACTGTTTGTTCTAAATGCTATCGGCGCTTGACGGTGAAATAGAGTGAAAAGTCACTTCTATTTGGAGAACGGTATACAGTGCAGACGTAGCGATTGGAAGAAAGAAACCGAGGTTTTAGCCACATCCTGTGGAACTTGCGGTTGGTGAGATTTAAGTCGAATAACGGGGTAGAAGCAAGTGAATGATGGTTTAAAGCACAAACACCAGCTTTGGGAATAAACCAAGCGTGAAGACAGTAGTTGGTAAACTGAGGATGAATAATGTCTGTGGAAGCAGAAATAAGTGTGTTTGGGATAGAAATTGATGTACAAAACCAATATTGTAGTTCAAGCTGCGAATGTTAGTGAAGGCGATTGTCGACTGTAAATGTCCTTGAGAAGTGATCCTGTTAGTTGTAGTATTTATAGTGAGGTGAAAGGTAACCAGCCACATAGAATTGGAACTAGGAGCGGCGAACCACATAAGTTCTCATTGGTTAGGCGGTGGTACTGACCCAGACGACAGCAAAACCCTCTACCACATGCGTGTGTGATTAGACCATAGAGGTCCACTTTCTCAAACAGCCTCATTTACTATGAATCTTGCGGATTCGCGTTTTTCTCGTTAAAACTGATCGTCTTCCAGATTCCATCTTTACGTGCGATCCTCAGTTCGTCTGGTAAACCATACATTAAAGCACTTTTTTATTACACATTTATGTGGTAAACAGCAGACAGGACGAACCCCATAGTCACGAAGACCTGCTGCTCCGTCATGGAAACCGGTAACCTAAGCCCAGGGACTTGGAATCACGAACCACACAAGGCCCCCTAGGTTAGGCGTGGTATTGAACTGGACGAAAACAAAGCTGCCTACAACCAAAGTTGGGTGGCGGTGGCGGGGCTCGAACGTCAGATCATAGGGTCCGAAGCACGCCTGTGACAGCGACCAGACCACTGCGCCGCCACCATTATAGTTTTAGCTTATCTACCGTCCTGTGCGACATACTAACTCATCGTTTGGGAGTTGTCACTGCTGCGTTCCCACCAGTTCACACGTGTATTGATCAGAAGTACCGAGCATTGTTTGTTCAAATACTTTCCTCTAATGTAGTTGTTGACCCGACAGCCCTAAACAGAGGCAGTGTGCAACCTGTTGACCTATCGAATCAGGTCTGCATAACATATTCAGTTACTCCAAAAGAGCCTACAAAACTGAATTCCATTATCACGTTCAGCTCAAAATTACTTATGAATAGTAGTATGTGATACGTAAATGGTCAGTCACTCTGAAAATTAGGTATCCCCTGACACTACTCTTAAGCAATTGCAAGCTTGACATAAGAACATAGGTGATTATTTTGTAAACATTCCAAGCTTCACAGAGATAACCGAAGTTTGAAAATGTTGCTGATGCTGATGGTACTTTCGTTTAGGCTGACGCAATTGACAGCAGCCTTACTTCGAGTCTAATTCTTCCGGAGAGGACACTTCACTGAGCAGCTGAATGATACCCAGTTTACTTTGGAGGATCCCGCAAATGGTTGCAATGTCTCCAACATCGTCACAACACTTACGGTGGCACAGCGAATAAATTATTGGCATTTGTGAATAATGTCAGCGTACCAAAATGGATTTACTGCGTCAAGGAAACGCTAGCCATCATTCCTCGGGAGAGCAGAGCTGTATGTTACCGAGCTCGTTCCCGGATAGCGGACAGGCTACCTTTAAATAAAGCGGTGGTGGTGCAGTGGTTTAGTCGCTGTCACAGGCGTGCTTCGGACCCTATGCTCTGACGTTCGAGCCCCACCGTCACCACCCACCCTTGGTGGTAGGCAGCTCTGCTTTCGTACCATGCCTAACCTATCGGGGCCTTATGTGGTTCGCCACTCCAAGTCCCGGGACTTAGATTACCGGTTTCCACCCCTGAACAGTAGGTCTTCGTGACCATGGAGTTTTCCCCGTCTGCTTTGTGTAATAAAAGAAGTAGGCGCGAGCCCCCTCCCCCCAAATAAGCGGTCACGACCCGAGCTTATATTGTTATTTTAGCAAGAGATATGAATAGCAGATTAGATCGGCTGATTTCGAGCGAGTTGCATCTGGGAGGTCCTTATAGACTAGATTTCTGTCGTTCGGCAAACGCGGAACGGCTGTTGGCTTTCATCCTCACCGTCGTACAGCCAAATGCAGTGAAGCGAACTTCACTGATCGCTGCCAAACTCGCGATGCATATATGTTTAATGGTTATATTTAAGGTAGATTGGGATTGGATCTATTTTGAGGGCGGGGAAAAAGGTGAATTTCCATGGTCACCACAGAGCTGCACAATCATACTGTTTCAACCATTCTAGCCTTATAGTAGTAGACAACCAGAACGCCACTGCTGTCGGTTCACTGTCGTATCTTTCAGTGTCTTCAATCAAACAGTTGGGAGACTTTCGGACCCTAACCTGAAAGGTGCGTGACATCGACTCTGTGCATTTCTTCATGCCTCGTCTCCACGGTACAGAGACTTGGATATTGCGGGAATAGGACCTAAATGAATCGTCAGTTGTACGAACACCGATGTCTACGTCGCATTGCACGAGTGTGGTTGGCGGACGAGCAATGCTGAGGTTGGGTGTATAATTTTAGATAATCGTGGTCGTCCGCTGGAGCAAGTGGTCGACCTCTAAGGGCCATACTGGTTAGGACGTCTGTTGCGCATGTCACCATTTAGATTGCCACAGTGAGCGATGTTTGCGGAGACAGGAAACGGATGGAAAACGAAGACCTTTCATGAGGGTATGGAAACTGTAGCAACGAGACTGGGTCATATAGGTCCCCTTAGACTCCCTGGTTGGGAATCTCGGGATTATCGTACCTGGTGATAAGAGACGCTGAGTAATATGACTCGCTGTCGGAAGCAGTCGCGCTCGTGCATCCAAAAGACAGCATCTTAACCTGACGCACGAAAGTGCATGGTTATTTTTGTGACAACTGAAAACCGTACGGTTACTTTTGGTATTTTTCACTTGGATCAGGATTGTCTGAGTAGAAACAACTTCTGGCTTANGAATCATCCCCGCTTGCTCGCGAAATCACCCAACCACGAAACAGTTCAAATAGGCACTCGGTGCTTCTCATCGAGATTGAAGTTTCAACCTGGGGAACAGCCACAACCATGGGTGGGCACGTAAGTTAGACTTTTAACACTCAGGCTCACCCTTCGTCTACGGAGGCCAACCATAAATCAATGATTCAATTACCACTAACCCTGCCACAAACCACCGTGCACGGAACCTGCTATCCGGAGTATCCAGGAAGCCTAATCTTCTAGCTACATTGTCTCTCTGTTCAAATGTACATAAAATTCACATAAAATAATTTGTTTCCTTCAGTATTCATAAAGTGGTGTTAAAGGATTGTCTTACCTTTGCTTTAGTGGTTGATCGCTTGATGAGTGATCATAGAAAACTCTTACATATGCATCCGAGGCACAAGTAGCTTATGCCAGATTAAGTTGTCTTCTATGTTAGCAAGGTGTTTCATTAAAGTTGAAAATTCGAGTACATTGTACCACGTCGCCATCACCCGTGCTTTGCGTTTGGTATACGTTGAATAACTAGTCGTGGATGTTAACGTGGTTTGGCATAGGTTTAGTTGGTCTAGTGAGTTTTCCACAACGACTTAAGCTAACGCTTGTTCGGCAGCGTCTCAGTAGAACATTCATTGTCACAACTAATTCCATTGATTAGGCTTTACTATCGTTTTTGTTGCGTTTGTCTAGTGCTTGTCTCTCATAATACATCTCACAACATTTGCCGACCAGTAAAAGACAGGATCTTGATGCTCAACGGATAACTTGAGCACGATCTGTCTGTAATGTGATTTATTACATTATACCTCTCATCCTCAAGGTTGAGGCGCAGAAGAAGCACTGAATAACAGCTAGGCTCAAACCATATCTACCTTGTACTTTCTCAAATACTTTGTGTACATCGAGAGCTTGACAGTGATAAGCTTAGTTCACTTCTCTTTATCTCGCCGTGCGATGCTGATGCTGATGATTGAAATTCGCCTCATTTCTGCATCTGCTCGCTCCCTTTTGTGTCTTTCAACCACTTATTAGAGCTTTCCCAATAATGCACAGCAAATTCAGTCATAACTTTTACGTGAAGCCACTGCACTAAAAGAAGGAAACATCAATGTAAGCCAGCGAACCTAGAGAAACTCAGTGTGATGGTCTCGAATAGACTTCACTGTATTCTACCAGTCTAATCCCTTCATCTGTTGTGATGACGTCACGTAATATATAAACTTTTGCTACGACATATGCTATCCATGTACGTGCATCCATTTACACCATATATTCGCTGTGATCGAATCTCGGCTTTGCATTCGAAATAGTTACGTCAAAGCAAGGAGAGAGCATATAATCGCAAAGATCTTCAAATTGTAAAGGTCTTATCGCTTGCTGTCAAATGCGAGCTAAATAGATTGGAAAAGTAGCATACTGTTCCAGGTGATCCCATTATAATTGTTTATTTGATCGCACAACAACCGCCTACCAGCCTTCTGCGTTATTTTGTCCACGATCTTAGGAACCCAGATCATATCATTTCTGAGCTTGGCCCACTCTTAATTTTTTTTGTTTTGTCTGTACTTTCTACTCTTGTGGTGTATTTGTATTTGTTTCATTAGTTCCTCTTTGACTATGTAGCTACCGAATATTCACCTGTCGGGGTGCATAGTACATATATTTAACTTTGACTTTGGTCCGACTGGTGTAAGAGAGGAAGATTAAAATTCAGCTCGGGAGCTCATCAAGCACAACCTATTAGTCAGATATACGTTGTCACACAGATCAAACCCTTTGCGAAACAAATCACAGTACAATGTTCTTTCAAACAAAAAAGGTCCATGATTTGTTCAAGGGCGCGGTACTGCTAAGTTGCCCGGGGCAAGACAGGTGAATTTTCTTAGGGAATTCACAACCATAGCCTTCGGCTAGCCAAAGCCTGACTCGCCAGGTAGCGGGGCGGTACGCGAAGATCGCAATCCATTGAGAGCCGGTGTCCAATACGAGGTCAAACGTCCAAGATGCCCAATACACCTCGCTAGACAATTGAGCTGGGACCAGGTAACAACCAGGAAGGTCTAAGGGCGTGGTTCGTTCGTCTCTTCATGGCTCCTCCATGAGAAGGTAGAAGCTATTTAAAACGCTTGGTCTTGTAAAACTATTTTGCAGCCCGAGACGCCCACTCACGACCATACTAAGGCTTTCAGAGGCATATCAATCAGGGGATAATGGATATTTTGAACCATGTGTTTTTTCAAATCTAAATCGTCATTAGGTGAAAGCATATTTACTTATTTTGTATGCACTCTGCGCAAAATATCATTGCTGCTAATCTTAGGCGGTTAGAATGCTCTTTGATGATGTCTCAAACATGCATAAAATCCTTCGCCTGTAGGTTCCTATCGAATAAATGGGGCGTGAAAAATGCTGAATGCCCCAAGTTGAAGACATGTCTCAACCGGACTCAGTGGAGAAAGTGTTCCAACTTTCGCTATTCAGAGAAACAAAAAATATCGATTATGTGCAATAAAAATTAAAAAAACAAATGTTACCACTGCATTACGCTTTGGTCCACAAGTTTACTCGTTTTTCTGAACGCTATTCCTCTTCATCGACACGGAATCATTTACCCAAATGTTCTACCACAGAGACTTCTTATAACCAGGTTTTTTCAAATATCAAGTTTTTTCATGTACAACGATCGCTTGTAATTACACTCCATCTGTATACACAATAATTCGTGTGCTTCGTAACCCAGGGTCAACCCAGTTTCAGCGCCTACATCACGTTTTGTCGGGCGGAGGATGCCATGAGGTCAATCAAAGAATTAGATCAGGGCATGCTTCAGGGGCGTCCATTACGTGTGTCTCTCGGAACGACAAAATACTGCAGTCAGTTCCTACGTGGAACAAAATGCACAAAACACGTAAGTCCCATCGTTCCATGCCCCATATCTGAATTTTTTCGCTTCATTTGAATTATTCTTAGGCCCTTTTGGTTTTGTGCTTCTTGTGGATGGATATGCTGCAGCTGCGAATTATCCATTTTAGAGGAGATTCCAGCGTTTAAAACGTGAATGACAGATAGGTCATGAAAGCTTTACACAGTGCACTGAAAATACTGATCCTGAATTTCAAAGTGTTAATCACCCAACAGTTGACAATTCAACGGTTAAATCAAGAGCGTCAGATTTATCAATCCTTGCGATGCGTTACCATTGCGCCGTTTTGGACAGATGAGGTCTCCGACAATTTTGATAATGTTGCTGATATCGATGTATCTTGCTTTTGGAAATCAGAGCAAGTGAAATTACATTTGTGCCGCTTCCCACCTGTACTGTTTTTTTATCCTAAGCGGACATTTCCTTTTTTACCGGCTTCAAATAGTTCTGTGACGTGCCTGCTTCATTTGGTTATCGACGCTTTTGTTTTTCCTGAAAAAGCTGGTTTTTTTCTTGAGGTTGATAATAAACCAGCTCAAGAGATCCATCATGTGCCTTTGTAGTTATATCCGATCAAATAAACCACACAATGGAGCTTTTATTGTGCTATAATGAATCTTCATTGATACAATAATAGTTGAGACTAGTCGTACTAAATGGTAGCTAGTTTGACTGACGTGTGGAACAATAAGGTATATTTCAAGTTTAACGAAACAATAGTGACCGAGTGATTCAACTCCTTATTCATGTAAACGTGAATCTACCACCACCACCACACTTTTCGGATCGGTCCGCAATGTTTCTCTCGCGTAGCGCCGGACTGTAGTGGTTTTCATCTAACTGTTCGGAGATATTGAAATGAAGCTAATTAGGAGCTGTAAGTTTTGTTTTCCAAAAGCCCACTGAGCAGGTCTTTTAATGAACAGAACCAGTTTTTGGCACCATATTTAAAAAGAGTCCGAGCAATGACTGCGCCGAACAAGTATGAACTCAATTCCAACGGCGTCAAAGCTATCATCGTTCGTCATTCTTCACAGTTTGTACTACACGACTGCGCTTATCTCCTGTGGTCAGTTAGAGGGAGTGGATGACTTTAAGTGTACCCGGAAATTCACCAGAGTCATTCACTGAGACCGACTATATTCGGAAGCTTCACGTGTTTGCATCCGTCTTCTTCCCTGTGTGCTCTCTTTGCACATTCTGGGCAGGGCTGGAAGTAGCGATTGGGCGTTCAGTCCATGACCTAGTTTTAGCATCGACATTTCTTTGGTGCGGCCTGCCTTACAACTTGGGGCTCAAGGGATGAGGATTTTCGTTGGCCATAGACGCTTAGAAATATGGATCTGGACAAAAAGCCGCTATCACTAATGCAGTGCCTTGAATTAGCGACGAAACGGTTGTTCCCGTTTGTCCTCATTTCCATTTTCACTATTTGACGGTTGGCAACGTGCTTGTTATCAAGTCAGTGTAGGATTTACACTCGTTTTCATGGTAGGGAACCACAGTATAACCCA